TGCTTAGCACCTCGCTTTTGCTAAAGCTGGCTTTGAACTTGCGATCTTCCTGCCTTAGCCTCCTGAGTCATTGGGATTACAGGCGTGCACCACTGTGCTCAGCTCCCCAGCCTTTTTTATTTTTTCTTTGGAGACAGAGTCTCACTAAGTTGTCCAGGTTGGCCTCAAATTAGTAATCCTCCTGTCACAGCCTCCTGAGCTACTGGGATTACAAGGGTATACTATCATGCCTGGCTTATGTGATAAACATGAAAGACATTATGTGAAGTGAGGTAGGACAGTCACAAAGGACACATGTTGTGTGCTTCCACTTATTCCAGGTCCCTCACATAGGCAGATTCATAGAGACAGTAGAACAGAAGCTACCAGCAGCTCAGGTAGAGGGAGGTATTGTGTAATGGGTACAGAATTTCAGTTTGGAAAGATGAATAAGTTCTAGAAATTATAGTGGTATTATATTTAATGCCATTTAAAAATGGTTAAAAGGGGCTGGGGTTGTGGCTCAGCGGTAGACCGCTCACCTAGCACATGTGAGCCCTGGGTTTGATCCTCAGCATCACATAAAAATAAATAAGTAAAATAAAGGTATTGTGTTCAACTACAACTAAAAAATAAATATTAAAAAATAAAACAGGAAAAAGTATTATATAAATTTTCACACCAAAAAAATGGTATCCACCTATTTTGTCTTACATCTTTTTTTTTTTTTTTTAAATTTTTTGGTGGAGATGGACACAACACAATGCATTTTATTTTTTTAAGTGGTGCTGAGGATTGAACCCGGGTCCCACCCGTGCTAAGTGAGCGCTCTACTGCTGAGCCACAATCCCAGCCCTGTCTTACATCTTAAATATGAGATGGACTGATGGATGGGCAAAGGAATGGTTAGGCAAACTGAGCTAGCATTATAAAGCAAATGTGGCCCAGACATTCATTGTAGAATTTAGGGTGTTCCCTGAACAATTCTTCCAACTTTTTTGGATGTCTGAAAAATTTTCAAATGTTGGAAAATAAAAACTGCATCTGTGCAGGTCTGGAAGTGCAGCTCTGTGGTAGAGAGCTTGCCTAGTATGTGTGAGGCCCTGGGGTTGATCACTAGCACCACAAAAAGACAAAACAACAATAAAACCCTGTGCATCCCTGCCAGGCACAGTCTGACAAGTTAGGGAGACCCTCTTAAACTTAAAAAATATAAGGGGGGAGCTGGGAATGTAGCTCAATGGTGAAGAGCCCCTGGGTTCAAACCCCAGTACCAATCCGGGTTCGATCCCCAAAGGATGTGGGCAGCTGCTCCTGTCACTAAAACCAGGACTAGCAGATCTGTGCTTCCTGCTGAGAACACAGTACCACCAGAGAAGGAATCTTGCCCCCCCACCACCAAAAAAAAAAAAAAACGAAAGCAAACAGTTTGTTGTCAAGTTCAGTGAAAAGAGAAATGTGTTAAACTTAACCACAGAGATGACATCATACTAGTAAAATCTATTGGACAACAAACCTGGTTTCAACAACAAATATGTTGCAAGGGGTGAGAAAATAGAGAAAGCAGAACCCAGAGATTCAAAGAGACTTTCAGGAAACTGCCCTCAACTAAATGCAACTTGGATCTTATTTGGCTGTTTTAAAACAGCCAAATAAGATCCAAGTTGTAGATGGACGCCATATCTTTATTTTTTTAGTTGTAGATGGACGCAATATCTTTATTTATATTTATTTAATTTCATGTGGTGCTCAGTATTGAACCCAGGGCCTCATGCGTGCCAGGTAAGTGCTCTATCACTGAGCTACCACCCCATCCTTCATTTGGATTTTGATTTGAACAAATTATAAACAGACAAAACACAAATATTTAAGAATCAGTTGGGGAAATCTAAACCTTCATATGCTATACAATGATACTAGGAATTATCTTTAAGCTTTTTCTCTGTGTCAGTGACACTGAGATTACTATTTGCAGTTATCTTTTTGAGATACATTTTTTTAAAATATTTTTTAATTGTAGATGGACACAATATCTTTATTTTTATGTGGTGCTGAGGATTGAACCCAGCGCATCACACATGGGAGGCAGGTGTTCTACCACTGAGCCACAACCCCAGCCCTGAGATAGATTTTTGAAGTTTTTACAGATGGAATGATATAATGTGCAGGATTTGTTTCAGAATTACTTAGTGTTAGCCGGGCACAGGGGTGCACACCTGTAGTCCCAATGGCTCAGGAGGCTGTGGCAGGAGGATCGAAAGTTCCAGTCAAAGGGCTGGATTTGTGGCTCAGTGGTGGAGTACTTGCCTGGGTTTGATTTTCCCGAATATAAATAAATGAATAAAAAAATACTTAAAAAGAAAATTCCAGGCCAGCCTCAGCAATTTAGTGAGGACCTGTCTCAAAAATAAAAAGAACTGGGGATGTAGCTCAGTGGTAAAGTGCCCCTGGGTTCAATCCCAGTACCAGCCTCTCCCAGATACTGGGGGTGGGGATGGGGTAGATTTAACACAAGACTGGGGGTGTAGCTCAGTTGTAGAGCACTTACTTAGGCATGTGTGGGGCTCTGGGTTCCATCCTCAGCACCAAAACTAAATAAATAAACAAGATTGAGCCCACAGTCTCTGCTCCTTTGTAGGCTGAGGCAGGAGGATTTCTTGAGCCCAGGAGTTTGAGAGACCAGCCTAAGCAACATAGCAAGACCTCCCCTCAAACAAAAAACAAAAGACTGGCCCCCTTTGATGCTGCCTGGTGTTTAAGGTGTAGATTTGTTACATTGTTCTCTCTAGTTGGGAATATGTTTTAAATTGTCCATAATAAAAGGTTTTAAAAAGTAACTTACACATCCACACAAAAACCTGCACATGGATGTTTATAACAGCTTTATTCATAACTGTCAAAATGTAGAAGGAACCAGGATGTCCTTCAGTAGCTGAACGGATACTGGAGTATGTTCAGATGATGTAATGTTATTCAAGGCTTAAAAAAAAAAAAAAAGACTGGGGTTGTGGCTCAGTGGTTGACCATTTGCCTAGCATGTGTGGGGCACTGGGTTTGGTCCTCAGCACCACATAAAAATAAACAAGGGTTGGGATGTAGTTCAGTGGCAAAGTGCTTGCCTTGCATTCACAAAGCACTGGGTTTGACCCCCAGTTCCAAAGAAAGAAAGAAAGAGAATCCCACCAAAAAAAAAAAAAAATGAATGAATGAAAAGATATTGTGTCCATCTACAACTTAAAAAAAAAAAAAAAAAAAAGGAAAATGAGCTCTTAGCCCTAGGTTCCACCTTCAGCATTGCCAAATAACCCAACCAAACCTCAGAAATGAGCTCTCAAGCTACAGAAAGTCATGGTGGAAACAAATTCATTTGGTGAAGGGAAAGAAGCCAATCTCAAAGGGCTACATACTGTGTGATTCCCACTTAATGACATTCTGAAAAGGTGAACTTAGAGACAGTGAAGAGATGGATCGGTCTTGGGAGGAGTGGGGATAAATAGGTAGAACAGAGAGGACTTTTAGGACAGTGAAAAGACTTTGGATGACACGATACATGTTATTGCACATTTGTCTAAATCCACAGACTGTAAAAACTCAAAAGTGAACCCTAATGTGAACGCTAACTTGCACTCTGGGGGATGGTAATGTCAATGCTGGTTCACTGATTCTAGCAAATGTACCTCTGTGGATGCGATGTGGATAGCGAGGGAGGATGTGACCAGAGAGGGCAGCGGTCTGTGGGAACCCTGCACTTTATACTCTGCTGTGAAACCTAAAACTGCTTTTTTTTAAAAAACTTTCTTTTTTAAGTTGTAGATGGACACATTGCCTTTTTTATTTATGTGGTACTGAAGAAGATCAAACCCAGTATCTCACACATGTGAGGCAAGTTTTCCACCACTGAGCCACAACTCCAGCCTTAAAGACTACTTTTTAAAAAATTAAAACTGGGGCCAGGTGCAGTGGCGCATGGCTGTAATCCCAGTGGCTCAGGAGGCTGAGGCAAGAGGATTGAGAGTTCAAAGCCAGCCTCAGCAAAAGCAAGGTGCTAAGCAACTTGGTGAGACCCTGTCTCTAATAAAATACAAAATAGGGCTGGGGGTGTGGATGTGGCTCAGTGGTTGAGTGCCCCCGAGTTCAATCTTCAGTACCCCTCCCCCCAAAAAAATTAAGATTTGGCCAGGCATGCTGGTGCACACCTGTAAGCCTAGCTATTCAGGAAGCTGAGACTCCTAGGAGGATCACAAATTCAAGGCCAGCCTGGGCAACTTAATGAGACCCTCTCTCAACATTTTGGGTCTTACTGTATTGCCCAGGGTGGTCTTCAACTCTTGGACTCAAGTGATCCTCCTGCCTCAGCCTCTGGAGTAGCTGTGATATGGTCTGCACCAAAATGCCCAAATCAAAATTATTTATTTACCTTTAAATTAACCAAGGGCTAGGTAAGTAGCTCAGTGGTAGAGTGTCCCTGGGTTCAATCCCCAGCACTACCAAAACAAACTACCAAACAACCCAAACTGCTTTGGAATAGTATGGAATTTTCAGTCAGGAGAGCATTGAGAGTGTGTGTGGTACAAGGGATCCAACCCAGGGCCTCGTGCATGCCAGGCAAGCATACTACTGAGCCATCCCCAGGCCAACACACAAGTCTTTAAAAGTTATTGATGGAGCCGGGCACAGTGGCACACGCCTGTAATCCCAGTGGCTGAGGCAGCTGAGGCAGCTGAGGCAGCTGAGGCAGGAGGATCATGAGTTCAAAGACAGCCTCAGCAACTTAGCGAGGCCCTACACAACTCAGTGAGACCCTGTCTCTAAATAAAATACAAAAGGTGGGGGGGGGGGCTCGGGGTGCGGCTCAATGGGTAAGTGCCCTGGGTACAATCACTGGTACTGGGGGAAAAAAAGAAGTTCTGTATGGAGATGGAGAAGGAAAATACTTAACTGCCTTTCTCAAATGTGTCTGACTTCATAATCCACCTCAAATCAGGCCTGTTAAGCAGAAACACTTTGACAAACACCAGAACAACAATAATATCAAATGTTTATTAAGCATCATCTGCATGTCTCCCTGCTAGGCAGTTTACACACACCATTTCGTCAGCTCTTTACACTTCCATCCTATGAGGTACTGAGCACCACCATCCCCACAGCTGAGATATGAAGCCCAAAGAGGTGAATACATTTCCTTCCTGTGGCCGCACAGGAAGGAAAGAGTGAAACTGGCTAGGTCACGTCTATGTGACAAGTGCCCCCCCCCCCAGTATTTTGTACATTTAACAAGTGGCTACTTAGTGCCTTCTGTGTACCAGGCACAGACTGAGCAGGTGGCTTAACTTTTTACTATTAGAGCTAGAGACATCCCAGGGCCCCCATCATGGTAAGCATGCGCCCTACCACTGAGCTCCACCCCAGCCGACCAGAATGGTTCAGACAGAAGCAGAAGTTTAAAAGCTGAATCCTGCTACCTCTTCAGTCTCACTCTAGCTGCATGTCCCCCAAAGTAGACCTTAGCAAACCCACTTTGCTGAAGATGGGCCCCAAAGGCCACAGCCTGCAGCAAGGAATTATGAGTTTCATTACCAGCCAGTGAAGATGGTGGGTTTCAAATTGGGAGTTGGGGGAAGGCAAAAGGATGGGATCCAAGGACATGATTAGCCCCTTGCCTATCCTGGGTCTTTCAGGGTCATGGTCAGGTTCATGGCCAAGGAAGTGAAGTCAGTTCATAGAGATGGAGTCTCCAGACAGGAGTAAGGCACAAGGGGTGTGTGAGGTCAGCTTCCTCCTCTTGGGGTGGGAGTAGGAGCCCTCTCCATGGGTACTGCCTGGGCACATCCCCCAGGCAGAGCTGCCCTTGTGCCTCAGCACACGCTGAACACTGAAGGAGCCTGGCCTTGGTATTTCTCATGGACCATCTTGAGGATGGGTATGAGGTTCTGGAAGGTAGGGCGGAAGGAGGACTCTGCCTCCCAGCAGTTCTTCATGAGATGATAGATCTAGGGAAGGAGAAATGGGCTGTGGCTGCTGCTGGCTCTGTGGCTTGAAGGCAGGAGCAGAGGAAAAGGCAGGAGGCTCTCACCTCACAGGGACATCTGTCAGGTCGTGGTAGCCTCTCCCCTCGTTCCAGCAACTCAGTGAGCCTCAGCACAGTTATCTGTCCCTGGGTGAGGCCTATAAGCTCCAGGAATTTCTACGGTAGAATCAAGACAAGCTCTTTCCCAGAAGCCGGGAAGACTAGCCAAAAACTTGGCACTAGACTGCTAGAGTTCGAATCCCACCTTGACACTTCTAGGTTGTGACTTTGGACTTGCCACTAAGCTTCTATGGGCCTCAGTTTGCTGATCCCTGAAAAGGGATGCTAACATCTTCCACTGGGGTTACTATAAAAGTTAGGTAATCTGATCTTCATGCTAAGCCTCCTTCAGGGGCTCACTGTTCTTAAGCCTTGCGACCTGTTGGTTCTACCTGTCATAAAGTTTTTATTATTTTTTGAGACTGGGTCTCACTGTATTGCCCAGGGTGTTCTCCAACTCTTGGACTCAAGTGATCCTCCTGCCTCAGCCTCTGGAGTAGCTGCGATATAGTCTGCCCAAAATGCCCAAATCAAAATTATTTATTTAACTTTATGAAGGCATTCTGCCTTTGCGGACAATCTAACAATTTCCTGATTCTGCCCCTCAATTCAGACCTGACCAACCTGAGACCCTCATCTACACAGTAATTGGCTACAGGCGTACATGCGTCAACCTAGGCCAATCAGAGGAAGTCCTGGGAATTATGCAGGAAAGAGGACCCTTGGTCGCCTGGGCTGAGGTGGGTACCTGGAGGGCTGGGGGCACAGTTGCCAGAGAGGAGGGAGAGCCAGCCTGCGATGCTACCATAGAGTACAGAACCAAGAAGATGTATGTGCCTCCTGATGACTCAGGCCCCATTCCCAGTGGCATTTGCAAATAGTGGGATAAACTGCTCTTATGTTGCTTGTGTCCATTTGAGCAGAGTTTCCATCACACTCACAGCCCCCTGCACTGCAAATGGCCCATTTTCCAGGTCAGGACTATGAGGCTCAGGTAGGTGAAGTACTTACTAGGGTGGGAGCTGGGCTGCGAATGCCTGCCTTTCTAACTCCCCTAGAGTACTCTAGGGTGAGGGTGTGGGGCTGGCACTTACGGAAGGGGGACTCTGGCTGGAGTCACAGTATGTCAATAGCTCATAGAGGGTGACCCCGAAGGACCAGACGTCAGACGCATAGTAGAACTTACACTCCTTCAGGCACTCTGGGGCATACCTGCAGAGAGGCAACACTCAGGTCTAGGGACTGGACTCAGGGCTTGGGAGTCAGACCAGGCTAGAACCCTCATGCGGGTGGGTACAACTGAAGGACCCCTTTGGCCCCAGTTGGGATCCCACTCTTAAGGGTTCAGCCTGAGAGGAGTGAAGATCAACTTGACCAAGCCAAGCTGACTTCACCCTCCAGGCAATGCTGAGCTCTAGCCCCACCTCCTTGCATCTCTAGGTCCCGCCCAACCTCACTGGGACTAGGTCTTGCCCTCTCAGACCCAGTCTTCTCGACCTTGCCTATTCCCAGTGACCCTTGCACCATCCTCCCACCCCCAGACCGTGTCTCCGCCTGGTCACCAGAACACAGGGCTGTCCCCATCCTCGCGCACGCGGTAGTATTCGTGGCCTTCAGGCACGGCTTTGGCTAGGCCAAAGTCCCCAATCTTGACCAGCCTGTCGTTGTCCAGCAGCACGTTGCGGGCAGCTAGATCTCTATGGATGTAGTGCTGCGCGTGCAGGTAGGCCATGCCCTGGGGGCGGAGTGGGGTGAGTCAGGATCAGTGGGGTGGAGATCAGCCCCCAACAGCAGGGCCTGAGGATAGGTGACCAGGATGGCTGGGGAACAGTCAGATTAGGCTTAGGGGGACTCAGCTGAAGACAGCAGGGTGGCAGGTGGGGGTCAAGAAAAGGAGGAGCCAGGAAGCTGGTGAGGGACAAGAGCAAAGCTCGGCCGAAGGAGTGTTCTGGGCGTGGCCAACTGAGCAGGTGGATTGGGGCGGAGCCAAGGGGGTGTGGCCTGGCGAACTGGACACAAAGAAGCTGGTGGATGGAAGTCAGTTCAAGGATAAGGGAACCCAGCCCAGTGCGCAGGAGCGGGCTAGCAGACAGGACAGAGTCGTTCAGGGCCGGCCAAATCAGCCGTAGGTTTGGGAAACGGGGTGAGGGGCCCTCCCACCTCACAGATCTGCTGAGCAAACAGCAGCAGCTGAGCCAGCCCAACATTGTGCCGGGGTAGGTAGTCTCGGAGGCTGCCCAGGGGCACGTACTCCATAACCAGCTGCACTGACTTCTCGCCTGTTGCAAAAAAGGATTCGTAGGGGAAGCAGAGGGACGGGCCAGGGGTACCCGCCCTTAGCCCTACACAGTCCCCACCTAGGTGTGGAGGAAAGTCAGGACCCGCACACTCTGGGCCCAGTCCTCAAACAAGATGGACCCATTCTGATTCCTGTCCCAGCGCAAGGGAAGGACCAGTGCTCTCATCCCTCTTGGTCTCAGCAGGTGGCAACCCCCAGCTGGAAAGGAGGCTGCCTGGCTGCACCCAATCCTAAGGTTGCAAGATTCTAACTGAACAAACCAGAGGCTCTGCCCAAAAGGCCACAATACTAAGCCCAGCCCCGCACATCCAAGCCTCACCCAGTCCGGCCCACCTTGGTCCTCGCAGCAGCCCTTGTACTTGACGATGTGCTCATGGTAGAGCGTGCGCAGGATATCGATCTCCCTCCTCCAGCCAGAACGGAGCTGGGGCCCGCAGTCCGCCTTGAGGGCTTTCACGGCCACCATCTCGCCTGTGCCATCGTTGGTCGGGTCATAGCAGTACAGGCTGACCTTGCCAAAGTGACCCTGGCCGCAGTACACAGAAGATAAACCCCACTCCTGTGTTTCTAAGTCACACCTCCTAGCAGATCTGTTCAGAAAGCCCCAGGCCCTACCTACTGTGTTGATGGGTCTCCTGGACCTACATCCGGGGACCTCTCTCAAAGCTGAGGGTGTTCCCATCCACAACACAAAACTATCCTTAGGCAGGACCTCCCTTAATTCCACAGGTGGGCCCCACCCCCAGCTCTCCAGGCTCTGCCCTCACCTCACCAAGATCCCGGATCTTTTTCAAGTATCGCTTGTGGAAAACCGTGGGGTCGGACACTGGTGAGTCTGGATTTACAGTGGAGACGTCCACTAGATCTGGAAGTCGTAACAGGTGAGGCTCAACCCCGGCCCTGTCCCCAGCAGCCGGGGGACACTGCTCCCCAGCATCCCCAGGAAGGAAACTTCCCCCTCAACAGCTGGAAGAGTCCACTTTCTGTACAAAGTGCACAGTTAGTCATAGAGAGCCTGCCTAGCGCGGGTGGTCACAGGTTCCATTCCCAGCCCGCAAAACAAAGAGAAACCAAAAGTAAACACCTGGATATAGTGAGATCGGGCAGAAAACACCAGAGAGAAAAGAAAAAAACTGCAAGGGTCCAATTCGTCCAAAGAAGTTGAACTTCTCCCCCAAGACTTTGACTTTTGACTCAGTGGCCCTGCCTCTGTACAGAGACCTTGAGGACACCATGTCTGCATCAGCAGGGACCCCAGCCCTCTCCTACCCACTGGGGTGCCAGCACCAAGGTGGGGCTCACCGTGGGGCTGCAGCTGAGTGAGGTCGCGCAGGATGGTGCGGAACGAAGGTCGCAGGGCCCGCTCATAGGTCAGGCACTGGCTGGTGATGGTAGCCAGTTCTGGGCAGGAGGGCTCTGGCAGGTGGTGCTGCTTCTGGTAGAACCGCTCTTTCTGTGTGTGTGGGGACCCATGGGATTCAGCGTGGCCCCAGTCCTGCCCCTCTCAAAAGAGGTGGAGCCCACTGGTGCCTGCTGTTGTCATTCCCATTTTGCAGAGCCGTGCCCAGCTGCCTCTGGGGAGCTGTTGCATCTCACCACCAGCACATCCTGCTGTGGCTGTCACCCACCTCTGCTCTTTGCCCCTCATCTCTCAGACTGCAGCTCCCTGAGGGTAGCACAGTCTCCAGGCCTTTGCCCAGGCCAGGCCCTCTGCCGCCGCTGCAGTGCCAGGTCTGGCCCATTGGCCTAATTCTGCACTTAGATCAAACCTCCCCTGGGAAGCCTTGCCTGACTCTTCAGATGCCTTTTGTCCCTGGTCAAGAGCCTTGAGCACCAGCTCTGGGAGGACAAGAAGGAACAGCACCCACTCCCTCAGCCTGCGCTTCCCCATCTCTGTCACTGCCTAAAGCTGAAGCCTGCTGCTTGCTGGGGACTACTGATTTCCACAAGGACTGTAAAAAGCTGGGATACAATTATCCCCTGGGCCCAGGGTTCCCCTGGTCATACCTCAGAGGGACCGCGGCCCTGCAGGGGGGCCTCCCCATCAAAGCAGATCTCCAGGAGGGTGGCACCAAAGCCCCACTTGTCAGCGGCAGTACACAGACTGGTGGCCCCAGCAGACAGGCACTCGGGCGCGGTCCAGGGGATGCGTTCCACCCTCTCTGCAGGCCATGCTCAAAGTCACCAAGTGCAGAGGAGTAGGGAAGCCTGTCCCTGTGGCCAGCCCTGCTTGGGTACTCACCCTCCCTGGAGAGGGCACCCAGGCCCACACCGGGATCACTCAGCTTGATGAAGGGGCTGGTGCCCTCTGCCAGCCCTAGCCGTGCCAGCAGGATGTTCCGGCCACACACGTTACCATGAACCAGGTTCTTGTCCTCCTGGGGTGACAGACAAGGAGAGGGGGATGGCCACCTGGCAGGGGCACAGACTTGATCCACAACCCCCATCCCATGAGGCCCTCATGGGGACAGCCATGTGAAAAGGATGTCCTGGTCATTACTGGGATGCCAAGACAATACACTGTTATCGGGACCAGGCAGCATGGGGCCAGGCAGCACGGGGCTGAATGGGTCCTTCTTGTTCTCCCAAACTTGGTGGCTAAGGCTTGTGGCCAGGGATGAAAGGCCAGAGGCCCCTGCAGTTTCCTTAAATGCATGTCAGGTGTACTCCTGCCCCAGTGCCCTTTGCTGTTCCGAGTCTAATGTCCTCTTGGCTCCCTCTCTCACTCCCAGGTGGCCTTAGTAAGGCCTTCCAACCTACCTACCTAAAGTTCCACCTTTCTCAGTGAGACTCTGTCTCAAAATAAATAAATAAGAAAGGGCTGGGGATGTGGCTCAGTGGTTAAGTGCCCCTAGGTTCAGTCTCCAGGACCTAAATAAGTAAAATAAGTGAGTAAATAAATACAGCCTTCGGGAGGGTGTAGGTGGTTCCAGGCAAACACTATTCCATTTTATAGAAGGGACTTGAACATCTGTGTAGTTGGTATTCTTGGGGGTCCTGGAACCAATCCCCCAGAGATACTCTTCCAGTGAAAATGCCTTGAGGGTAGGGGTTTGCCGGTTCTGTTCTGTTATCTGCAGGTCTAGGTCTGGGCCTGGCATGCAGAGGGTGCCCACTGAACAAGAAGGTGAAGGTGGAACTCTGGAAAGTGGGGTGATCATACAGGAAGGGTTGGGCAATGAAAGGCCAGAGACAGAAGACAGCATCTAAGGACAGTACCCAGGGGACCTGGGACACAGTGAGCACAGGACAGATGGACTCATGGACAGATCTCCCAGGTGTGGCATGTTGTCCAAGTGATGTATCTCGGCCACCCACCCGAAGCCCAGCCATCCAGCCTCCCTCACTGACACAGGTGCCAGCCCAGCCCACATACCAGGTAGCTGAGGGCGCTGGCCAGCTGCTGAGCCACTGCCACCTTCCAGGTCATGGGTACATGGCCCTTCTCTCGCCGTAGCCACACGTCTAGGGGCCCGTTTTCTACGTACTCCGTCACCATGATGTCTGAAAAGACCTAGCTGCTGCAGAGGCCGTCCCACCTTCTGTGGGCCTCCCACCTCCATGGGGCCAGGGGCCAACTTGGGGGCTGGGCCTGTGGCTGGGGATGTTGTGGGGACAGAAGGTTAGGTCAGGTTTGGGAGTGAGTCTGGGGAGAGAAGAAATGCAAGATGGATGTGGGGTAATGTGGCGCATTCCTGTAATCCCAGGGGCTCGAGAGGCTGAGGCAAGAGGATCACAAGTTCAAAGTCAGCCTTAGCAAAAACGAGGTGCTAAGAAACTCAGTGAGACCCTGTCTTTAAATAAAATACAGAATAGGGCTGGGGATGTGGATGTGGCTCAGTGGTCGAGTGCCCCTGAGTTCAATCCCCAGTATCCGCCCTTCCAAAAAAGATGGAGCATGGGGTGAGGCAGAGGGTGTGGAGCACGGAGAAACGTGGAGGAGGAGGTTAGGGCAGGACCAAGGTCAGGATAGAAGAGCAATGGAGGCGGGCAAGGCGGGAGTAAGGCCAGTGCTGGGGACAGCAAGAGAGACAGACATACACTTGGGGTTATGGTCCTGGTGGGGCTGGGGTCATCCTGTATAAGTAGGGACATGTAGAGGAGGGACAGAGGTGGCCTTAGGTTCTAGACAAGGCTGGATATTCAGAGGTTGAGGTCTGGGAGGACCAAGGGACACAACAGGGCTGGAGTCTGCTGGGGGCCAGAGTAATGCTGGGTCAGAGGCGACCAGGCTGGGCTGTGGAGGGGGCCGGGATGAGATGGAGACTGGGATGGGGTCAGCAGTCAGGGTTGAGGCTGAGGGCTGGGCCACAGCCATGGGAGGGGTATAGGTGAGGCCAAGGTGTAATCTGGGGTTGGATGCAAGTTGAGGTTGGCACGTGGTCAGGAGTGGGGCACAGTTTGATGGTCAGGATACAGCCTGGGGGGTGGTGGGGACAGAGGAGAGCAGAGAAGAGGTCTCTGCTGGGATTGTAGTCAGGGGTCAGGAACAGCTGAGGTCGTGGGTACCAGTGGGGGCTCCAGTGTACCACAGGGTATAATGGGGTCCACTCACTCTCGGAGCCGCGCACACAGACACCATGCACGAAGGCCAGATGTGCGTGGGAGACCTGGCTCATGAGGCTGGCCGTCTCGTAGAAGGCCTGTGGGAACCAGGCAGGTGGGGGGCTGTGAACCTCACCCGGCACGCTGTCCCCACTGCACAACACGCCAGGCCACCCTGCACACTCACCAGGGCGATGTCATGGTGACTGGGGTCTAGTACTTTAAGCACCACTCGCAGCTGCTGCCCACAGCCCCCTCCAGGTTTGGGGGAGTCCCCGCCATCTGCTTTGCCCTCCTCAGGGCCCCCAACTCTCAGGAGGCCCTCATATACATTGGTCCTTGTGCCCTGGCCCAAGTGGGATAGCTGCAGGAAGTAGCATAGAATACCGCTGTGATGCCAGCTGCCTGCTGACCTCCCAGAGCCCCAGCTACCACATCCCCAGGGACCCTGTCCCTACCACACCCCACCTGGGTGATCTCATCCTGGTGGATGCGGTGGAAGCTCAGCTGGCTGAGGTTAAGTGGCCTGGAGCTGGCCCGAGTCCCGCGCATGATGATGAGATTGGAGATTTCTGGGGGCAGATGCAAAGTGGCTGACACGGACTGGCATGGGGGAGAGAAGCTCTGCCCACCCCATGGCTCACCCTGTACCTCCGGGCTGGGGCAAGCAGCAGCGACGCAGAGAGAAGCAGTCGTCCCCGGCCCGCAAGGAGCAGCCCTGCAGGGCTCCCCGCAGCTCCTGCACACTGGCAAAGGAGCGGCCCCAGCCCTCCAGCACGAAGGCCCCATCCTGCTGCTCGATGGGGAACTTCCGGATGCGCAAGCTCTGCACTCCAGGTGCCTGGGGTGGGTGGAAAGAGCACTGAGCAGAGGTCCAGGTAGAGCTCAGGCCCCACCCCAGCCCAGGACCCCCGAGCCCCAGGCCCACCGGGTCAGGCTGGGCCACCGTGAGGATAAGGCGGTGCAGGTGGACGGTGCTCCAGTGGATAAGGTAGAGGCCCTCCTCTGGCTGGAGCTTGGCTTGCACAAAGGGCTCCCTAGGGGGGGTCAGAGGGGTGCCATTAGGCCACCTGGGGCCACTGATAGACCTACACCCGGCAAAGACAACATGAGACCTGCCCAGAGGAACACACACCAGCTAGGATAAAAGTCACACACACACACACACACACACACACACACACACGGCCACTCACACGAGACACAAGCATGAGAGCAGAGAACAGGCACACACAGGTACATAACGCTGGAGGCAGCCACTAACAAGATGGTTTACAGGCTGAGACAGGAAACAGCCATCAAATGGGGGATAGGTGCACACCACCCATAGCCACATGCAGGGGGACACACGGACAGTCTAGCACACAGCGACCACCGATACATCTGGTTACATAGTGTGACAGGGCAACAAAGGGGCTGCTTTGGTTTGAATAGGGTTTGTCCCCTCCGAAAACCATGTTGGAGTCTAATCCCCTTGACACATTAGCTTTTTGTCACTCTGACCAAATACTTGAGAAAATCAATTTAAAGGAGGAAAGGTTGATTCTGGCTACTGATTCCATAGTTAGTGGACTCCATTGCTTCTAGGCCTGTGGTGAGGCGGACGCATCATGGAGGAAGGGCTTGATGCAGGAAAGCTGCTCACTTCACAGTGGCCAGGGGAGGGGGAAGTTGGGACAAGATATACCCTTGCAGGGCATGCCCCCAGGGATCAACTCCTCCACCCATGCCCCCCTGCTACAGTTCCCACCACCTCCCGAAAGTCCAATGTCGAACCTATGAGCGGGTGAGAGCCTTCATGATCCAAACCCTACTCTGAACACTGCTGCACTGGGGACCAAGCCTTCAGCACAGGAGCCCCTGAGGAACATTCCAGAGACAATTGTAACAGTAGGGCCTTAGGGACAGAGATTAGGAATGGATGAGCTCATGAGGGTATGCCATCATCTGGATCTTCTGTGTCCCCCCCAAAGGCTTGGTCCCCAGTTTGGTACTGTTGGGGAGGAGGTAGAAACTTAAGAGGTAGAGGCTCATGGGCTCCAGGCTGTTGAAGCATGCCCTCAAAGGGGATTCTGAGACCCCATTCTCTTCTTCCTCCTCCTCATGCTCTCTGGCTTCCTGGCCGAGATGAGCAGTACTGCTCCCATGTACTCCACCATGATGCGCTGCCTCTCCACAGGCCCAAAGCAACATGGCCAACTGACCATAGACAAAACCTCCAGAACTGGGAGTCAAATCTTTTTTCTTATAAGTTGATTGTCTCAGGTCTTTTATTATAAATATTAGAAAGCTGACGAATATAGGGTAGGGCCCTCATATTGAATCTTGGTGGCTTTTTAAGAGGAAGAAAACTTGGGCGTGGTGGTGCCTCTCTGTACCCTCAGCTATTTGGGAGGCTAAAGCAAGAAGATTACAAGTTTGAGGGTAGCCTTACCAACTGAGTAAGACCCTGTCTCAAAATAAAAAAGGGCTGAAGTATAGCTCAGTGCTGGAGCATGTGCCTAATGTGTGGGTCCCTGGGTTCAAACCCCAGTGTTGGAAGGAGAAAAGAAAAAGAAGAGAGGGGGAGATCAGAAGAGACACTCTTGTGCTGCCTGTCTGTGGCCAGGTGATGCTCTGGGCTGTCCTAGGACTGCCAGCAAGGAGGCCACCACCGGATATGGGCCCTCAAACCTTGGACCAGACTCTGAGCCACAATAAGTCTCTTTTCTTTAAAAGAACTCATGTTTTTTACAGAAACAAAAAATGGACTAATCCGGGGCCTTGACATCACAGACATTAAAGACTAGAACAAATGGACACTACAAGGTGTCAGCCATGTAGGGCAAGAAGCCACACACAAAGTGGCTGACATAATTACCAGGTCCAGAGACACCCATACTGTGGCAGCACACACCTGTGATGACAGTCACAGGAAGCAAAATGGCCACTTACACTTCCCCTGGTAGAGGGACAAGCCTCTGAGAGGTCAGACCCTTTTCAGACACCCCCAGGTGCTAAGCCCCAGCATCACAGGTAGTACAAGGGACAGCGAGACACAGGGCCAATGACTAGAGAAGCCACAGTCACAAACCTCACAGCATGCGGAGAACCACACACACATCTCCACATCCGTCCTACGTGGGGACGGATAATTCATACTCTCAGCACCAGTTCACCAACAGAACCTTTAGACAGGGACACACATATCCCAGCAGAGATACACCACACAGGTGGACACCCCCACACAGGTGGACACCCCCAACATGCCCCTGAATGACCCGGGTTGGTGCAACACACTGTCCCATGAAAACCACCCATTCTGTGCAATGCCAATGTCAACATGTGACGCTAATCCCAAATGCTATCACCAGAGCAATGACAGCTACACAATAAACATCCAGTCCTACAGGGTAACAGTCCCAAATGCATCTCTATCATCCCAGGTACCCTCGCTGCATGTAGCCCCTCACTGTGCACACACACAGGTGAACACAAGTAGTGCCTGAACTCACACGCAGGTCTGGATGCACACATAAGTGTGCCTGCTGTCCCACGCACACAGACACAAACACACGTGTTCGCTGAGATGCGCACACCTGTGCCACACAGCCAACACATGTGCACGAACACGTGCACACTCTAGAGGACCGCAGGGGGTGCTCTCTCACACGGCGGGCACTTGCACACCATGCAGTTCCTGCAGAGCGGCTTTGGAGGGAGGGCACCCATCCTGGCCACCTTCCTCGCCCTGGCCACTCACAGCAGGGGCCCATGGATACCCTCCTGGATGCTCATCACTAGCCGCGGGGGAGCCACCTCCTGGCACAGGTAATGGCTGGAGTCTGCTGTTAGGCGGAAGTAGCCGTCCACCAGCGCCACGAAGGACAGGGCCGCAGCCCGGGAAGGCAGTCTCAGCTCCTGCAGGCCAGGGGCATGTCAAGCAGGTGACACAGGCCATAGCTGCCCCCCGCCCGATTGCCACCCCAGGCCCCACCAGGCACTTGTTGTCTTGCTGGTAGATGGTGACACGGCACCCTTTTAGCACCAGGTGCGTGATGTCCTGGAAGTCACAGAAGTAGGTCCAGGGTGGCTCCCTTGGCCTGTCTGCTGTCTGGCCACCCGCCTCACGGGCCTTGGCTTTCTTCCCAGACAGGTGGGTTTGGGAATTCCTGCTGCTGTCGTTGACGTCACTAGAACCCTGCAAATCCAAAGAGTGGGGCACAAGACAAAGCGGGACACAGCCCACTTATCCCCTGCACCGTCTCCAGGGGTCAGGAGATGGAGGGCCAGTCACCTGTTCTGAAATCTCCCTTAGGAGTCCCTCTGCCACAGGCAGGATGGAGACCCATCCCCAAGAGACACATAGGATGAAGCCGGACCTCAAGGAGGACAGAGAGGAGAATCCTGCCCCATCCCCAACTGCCAGACAATGAAGGGTTCCCCAGGGGTGTAGGCCCCAGAAATCAGGTCTCCGGGGGACAGACAGACAGAGGATGCTCACCAAGAGATAGACCCCAGGGGACAAGGGACACAGCCCGGAGGTAGGTGGGGAAAGGGCTCACCACTGCTAACTCAGCAGCCCACCAGCAGAGGTGAGCAAAGACCACCCACCAGGCCTGCCTGAACCCACAGAGGGCAGGAGGTGTCCTGCTCACCTCCACCTGTACTGGCCGCCACTGGATGCCACCAGTGCCTGTCACCAGTACCTCGTGGGTGGGGGATCCCACGGCAGGCTCCAGGCTGTGGTCCACGGAGGCCCGCCTGCTATCCTGGATGTAGCAGGGCTCTCCCTCGGCCTGAGACAGTAGCTCCAGATGACACACAGGTATGCGTTCAGTGCCAAAGCGGGGGGCCAGATGCTCCAGGGTGGCTATGTATTTGACCATGACGATCTGCTGAGAGAGGTGGCCTGGCTGGAAGGCATGCAGGAACTTGCGGAAGACATTGCGCAGGCGCAGCCGTGTAAGGGCGTTGTGCTGCCGAATCTGCTGCCGGAAGGAGCGTGGGATGCAGTCCTTGAAGCTGTGGGGTTGACATGGAGGGGCTGGTCAGGGACCTGGTTGGCAGGCTTGGCTGAATGACATAGGACAAGTGGCTTAACCCCTCTCTCGGTGGTTAACCAGCTGCCTCGGTGAGAGAATATGCACACTGACAAGAAAGTGGATAGAGAGACCTGACACAGGACTAACCCAGGGAAGTTGGGTGCTGTGGGGGTCCAGGGCCCAGACCTCCCAAAGACACACTGGAGCTGAAATCCCAGGTCTCAGGCAACTTCTGAAAGCTTGAAAGGGCTCCGTTTCCTTTAGAGCATCATCTTTGAAATGGGACCAAATGGTGCTCACCTCCAAGGCGGATGAGAGCACTCAGCAAACTGCTGCCTGCAATGCTTGGACTATGGACCAGCACACAGTAAGGACAGAGTGTGGCTGTTGCCATCACAGGAGAACTCGCTATTATTTGAATCATTCATTTTATAACCATCAATAAACAACCCAGCTCTGGGAGGTCTCTCTGCTGCTCACAGAGTCCTAACTCCTCACTCTCCCAAACCACCCCCTTCTGCCTGTTGCCTGCCTGCAACCGACCACCAGTATGGCCAGATCACAGGTTTCCGTGCCTTGGTCTCTATCTCCTGAGATAGTCTCTCCCTCCCCCACTTCCAAGCTTCCCAGGGCTCACCAGTACTCTGAAAAGGGCGTGGCCAACCTCCACACTCACTCAGGCAATCACCTGCATCCAGTTTGCCTACAAAGGAGCCGTGCCGCCTTCTGCCTCTGAGCCTTTGTACACGCTGTTCCCTGTGCCTAGAACATACTGCCAACTCAACTGGATAAAGCAACTCAACTCTGGGGCTCAGCAGAGACGTTCCCTAACTAGGAAACACTCCCTGATGTCCAGGTTGGATGTGTTCCCTCCTCCTGTACATTGCTGTCACATTTCTAGTCCTTCAGAGTGACACCATGACAGGGACTAAAAAAATATGTGCTTCAAGAACAGCTGGGGGCTGGGGATATAGCTCAGTGGTATAGCATGTACCTAGCATGTGTAAGGCCCTGGGTTCAACCCCCAGCACTGGGAAGCGAAAAAATTCCAAAACAAGCTGATCCTGAAAGACACAACTGTTGTGCTGCCTCCTCCAGACAGTGTGTCCTGATGATCTGAGCCCTTACTGCAAGGCAGGGATCCCCCAAGGCTCTGTCAGTAGAGCTGGCTTCAAGCTCCCCAGAATCCAACCTCCTTCCTTCCCTTGAATTTTTACTATTATTATTATTATTATTATTTGTACTAGTGATTGAACCCAGGGTGCTTAACCACTGAGCCACATCCCCAGCCTCTCCCTCTTTTTTTTATTTTGAGACAGAGTCTTGCTAATTTGCTGAGAATTTTGAACTTGAAATCCTCTGCCTTAACCTCTCCAGTCAATGGGATTATAGGTGTGCACCTCCATGCCCTGCCTTCCCTTGAATTTTAATGAGTTCTTAAAGCCAAGAGTTTTAAGGATCTGCCAAGTCCCCACCTCCCTGCTCGAACCTCCTCCCATAACCCCTGGCTCCTGCTGTTCCAGCCACACCTCCTCCAACACATCAGGCAGGAAACAGCCTCAGAGCCTTGGCACAGGCAGTTCCTCTGTATAGAATGGTTTCCTCCTAGACATGTGTATAGCTCCCTTCTTCACCTCCTTGACTACAAAATTTCACAATGAAGAATCCCCTAACTTAACCAATTTAACAATATAAACTAAGTCCTCTGAGCTACTTTGGAAGCTGAGTAGAGGATAGCTTGAGCCTAGGAGTGCAGGGCCAGCCTGGGCCACATAGTGACACCCTGTTTCAGAAAATAAACAAAGGGCTGGGGATATAGCTCAGTGGTAGAGCACTTGCCTAGCACCTAGCACCACAAAAAAAAAAAAAAAAAAATTAACTAAATAAATGAATACAGAAATAAAATGATAAACCTCTCACCCCTGATATTTCATGTTCCACTTTCCTACTTATCTTATTTTTATTTTTTGTAGTATTTTGTAGCATTGGAGATTAAACCCAGGACCTTACACATGCTAGGCAGTGTCCAACCCCTGGGCTACACTCAATCCTGATTTATTTAATTTCTAGTACTAGAGTTGGGACCCAAAGTCACTTTACCACTGAGTTACATTCTCCAGCCATTTTTATTTTTTATTTTGAGATAGGATTTTACCAAGTTACCCAGGCTGGCCTTGAATTGGCCATCCTCTTGCCTCAATCTCTCAAATCGCTGGACACCACATTGGGTTCCTGCTTAATTTCCCCCATTTCATTGATCGCCATCTAAAACACTGTACATTTCCCTTTTGTATCTTGTTCATTGCCTGCCTGCTTCATGAGATGTGAGCTCCCAGAAGATGAGTGATTTTTGTCTGATGTGTTTGGAATTGTGTCCACAACACCTAGAGCTAGTGCTAGCACAGGGCGTGCTCAGTAAGCATTTGCTGAATGAAGGAAGACATGGCAATATTCACGGCCCACCCAGCCCCCAATGCTACTCAGTAGCCCCACTCCCTTCCCAGACACCTGATCTCCTTGGCCACCTCTTCCAGGGGGATGCCACGTTGGAGAGCGAGGTGGCAGAGGTGCAGAAAGGCCATGCCCAGGCTCTCATTCTTAAAGTGGTGGATCTCCTCCTCACTTGACAGCTCCCACAGGGATACCACATCATTCACAAACTCATGCTTGCCCTGGGAGTAGGAATCAGGCAGAAAGGGAAGTATGAGAATGATTTCATTCCCTAGTGAGAGAAACCTAGTTCCTTGCTTCTGGGCATCCTGGGGAAGGAGAGACCACCATTTGCTAGAAAGGCTAAATACACAGCACATACACCTGCTCTTCCCAGTCTATCCCAGCACTTATTCTCATTCAGCCCAAACTCGGATGGCCTGAGTCGAAATGTATTAGTTGTATCAAGTTGGAAAGGGAAGTGGGAGTTCCTTGACTCTCCCAAACGTGACACAAATGGTTCTGTCCTCCAGCCCTGCTCACACCTGTTCAAAGAGGTACTCAAATGAGGCTGGGTCTAAGAGTTGCACCCCCTGCTCTGTCGGTTCTGAGGAAGTCTCAGCCCCTGGGAGTCCACAGCGGTATACAGCTGGCTCCTGAGGATTCATGCCATGCCAGTTTCGGAAATAAAACCTGCAGGGAGGGGAGGGACACAGTTGCACCTTAGCAGAGGCACTGAGCAGCTCCAGAACAAAAGGGGAAAAGGTTTTCAAGGGGCCTCCACCTACCTCATACGGAAATACAGTGTCAGACTTGTATCTCTGGAGACCTCTAGGATGTGGTTTGGGGGCAGCCAGACTTGGGCCTGGGCATCAAAGAGGGCAAAGAGATTGAAGCAGGGTGGAGTGATGCCTGGAACAGGGGAGTAAGGAGGTCAGGAGCCATGTTATTTGCTGCCATCAGCCCTGAGGACCTTCATGCCTGCTATCTCCTTTCACATGCCTTCCCCGGGTCTCCTTCCCGGCCTCCAGCTGGCCTTATGTTATACATGTGGAGAGGACCAGGCAATTTGTTGACCCTGTTTCACAGGGGAACTATATTCCCTTAGTCTCTTTTGCACCTAGGATGAGACTATGGACTGGGTGCTGACAAGTGGGATGTAAACTGAAGGTATAGGTACCCTACTGAGTCTGGAAATAAACTCTCTTGCCATCTTCCTATCCCCTAAGAGGGCTGAAAGTTCCTTATACAGAGTGGTGAAGCTCTGAAGGGGAGTTGAGCCATTTGACCTGCATCTGATTTTAGAAAAACTTGATTACCTTAAGCCAAGAAGATTTGGGGGTTGCTTTCTACAGTGGCAAAACATATCCCAGACTAACACAATTCTAGAAGTAGCTAGCAATGTGCTGGTAATTCCAGCCCAAAAGATATATCCAACCACCTTCTGCTGTCTTCCTCGGACATCAAAGGCCTCCTCAGATGTGCCTTATTCCAAATAGACCTCATCTATAGTCCCCAAACCCGCACCTCCTCTGCCTAGTTCTTCAAGCCAGAACTTGAAGAACTTCTTGAACACCTTCCATATCAAAGTAGTCATCAAGTCCTGCTCTTTCTACATTCTTTATCTTTTTGAGATCCATCTACTTCTGCTGCATTTTGGATCTTAAATATTCCTCAGCTGGGGTTGTGGCTCAGCGGTAGAGTGCTCGCCTAGCACGTGCAAGGCCCTGGATTCAAGCCTCAGCACCACATAAAAATAAATAAATAAAATAAAGGTATTTTTAAAAATAACAAAATAAAAAATAAAATGAAATGTTCCTCAAAGCCTCAGCCAAAGGGTAGCACTACTGGGAGATGGCAGAGTCTTTAAAAGGTGGGGTCTAATGATTGGTCTTTAGGTCATGGAGACTGTATTTTGAGGAGGACCATGGGATCCTTGAGCCTTTCTCTTTGCTTCTTGGTTGTAAGGTAAGGGGTTCTGTTCCACTACATGCTCCTGCCATGATATGCTGCCTTGCCACAGGCCCAAAGCAATAGGACCAACCAATCATGGTCTGGGATGCCTGAAACTTGGAACCAAAATAAACCTATTCAAAATCGATTATCTCAGGCAACCTCTTTCAAATCCAAAGCCCAGGCCTTGCATGGCTTAGAAGTTAGGTTTACAGTGAGGTTGTTGTTTTGTTTGTTTGTTTGTTTTTGTTTTTAAATTTCTTTTGTAGTTGTAGATGGACACAATGCCTTTTATTTTATTTATTTTTATGTGGTGCTGAGAATCCAACCCAGTGCCTCACGCATGCTAGGCAAGCGCTCTGCTGCTGAGCTACAGCCTCAGTCCGTTTTGTTTTTTTTTCCCAATTTTTCTTTCTTTAGTGCTTTGCTTTCTAGCATAAACTTTCCATGGCTCTCCAGTTTGCACTAAGAAAGACCAACACTTATGCAATGAGTAACCATGACCTGGTTTTTGCTTGTGTTCTGGTTTCAATTCTTACTTCTCTTTCCAGATTCTGAAAATTGATGTCTAGTCTCTTGCTTCCTCAAACAGATCAAGCCCTTTGGGCTTCTATGCATGTTGTTCCCTTTGCTGGGCAGGAGTCCCATCACCCATGCTGTAGTTTGGAGGGTCTAGCAGGGGAGCACACCCAGCTCCTTACATACACTTGATGGAAGAGCAGTCCTCCTCTGAAGGGGTAACGTCCTCTTCCGCCTAGCTGCCACTTCAAGGGGGCACACATGGAGTAGTGAGCGAGGAAGGGGACACCTGCCTAGCTAGCCATGTCAGTCAAATCAACCCTGGAGTTCAATGAGGTGACAGATGTCACAGCCAGAACACCCTTACATCCCATGCTATGGTCTGAAGGTGTCCCTCTAAAATTCATAAGTTGGAGCTAGTGCGGTAGCACATGCCTATAATCCCAATGACTTGAGAGGTTGAAATAGGAGGATGGCAAGTTCAGAGCCAGTCTCAGCAACTTAGCGAGACCCTGTCTCAAAATAAAATATAAAGGGGGCTGGGGATGTGGCTCAGTGGATAAGTACCCTGGTTCAATCCCCAGTATAATAAATAAATAGATAAATAACCCAGTTAAGTGCCCCTAGGTTCAATACCTAGTCCAAATAAATAAATAAGGAAAGAAAGTTCCTGTGTTGGAGCTTAATCTCCAGAGTCATTTATTAATGGCATTTAGAGGTGGGACCTTTGGGATGTAATTAGAATTAGGTGAGGTCATGACAGGAGGGTCCTTGTGATGGCATTAGTGGCTTTATAAGAGAAAGAAAGGCCTGAGCTGACCTGCTCACTTGTTCTCACCCCTGCCACACTATGATGCCCAAGAGGCCTTCCTAGGTGCCAGCACAAGCTCTTGGACTTCCCAGGTCTGGAACCATGATTCAAATCAACATCCACTGGGTACTCCCCACATCATTCCATGGCTCTGATCCCTGCTTCCCTCAGGAGAAAGTGTCACCTTGAAACTTCTTCCCATGACATATAAGGCCTGTGAGGTACGGCCTGTGGATGGATCCCTTCTGGAGATCACCCCTGCCCAGGTCTCGGGTTCCTGCTATTCATCTGCCCCAGCAGCTGACAGAGGGCACCTGGGAGCCCAAGCCTAGTCACAGCTCTCCTCTGTGCAGAATCCTCCATGGCTCCCACCACACTGCAAGTCAAATCCAGAATTCTTCCCATGGTCCACAAGAGGCTCCACCACTGACTTGTCGCCTCCTTTCTCTTACCTCCCAGCTCCCCTTCATTTACTCTACTCCAGCCACACTGGTCTCCTGGCTGTTCCAGGCAAGCTCTCACCTGAGGGCCTTTGTACTTGCCGTTCTCTCTGCCTGGAACTATCTTCCTCTAGATATTCCCATGGCTCCCTCCCTCATCTCCTTAAGTTTTTGTTAAGCATCCTCTCAGAGCAACTTTCTCACCACCAGTCACTTTTCTGCTTAATTTTTCTCATCATCTCTGCCCTCTGATACAGTCTTCTTTGTCTTTTTTAAAAATTATTTCCTGCCATCTTCCCTCCTAGAATATCAGCTACACAAGCGCTTTGATTTTGTGATAGCATACAGTTGGTGCTCACTCAGTATTTGCTGAATGAAGCTGCAGATGGACGGATGGGCTTGGCTTTTCTCATCCCCCAACACTGGCCATCACATCAGTGCCCTGGACTTACCAATTTTGTGTGCGATGTGGATGCAGACTTCCTCGGCCGTCAGCGAGGACTTGCTAAAGGTGACCCAGGGCTCTCCACCACTAGGGCCAGCCCAGTGCAGAAGTACCTTCAGACCTCCCATGTCAGCCATAGGCTGAGCTCTGTCCCTATGAGGCTTGCTGCCCTTTGCAGCAGCCCCTTTCTGACAGAGAGGCATGCTCCTCAAAGCTGACTCTGCTGGGAGAAGACAACACATTAGCTCCCAGGCCTCTCTCTGCAGGCCCCCTTAGCACCTCTACCTGCACCTACCCAGGCTGAAGCCCAAGGGGGAAGATTCTGGCTCCCTGGCTGTGAAACCTTAGGCACCCAATTCCCCTCCCTGAACCTTAGTTTCCACATTTTTTTGACAGGGTGGTATGCCTCTTCACCTACTACATCTGACACTAGTAACACTGCCTCTCCTTTTTTAATGGTTTCTTGTTATGTTGCCCAGGCTAGTCTTAAAACTCCTGGGCTCAAGCAACCTCCTGCCTCAACCCCCAAGTAGTTGGGGCTATGGGTGTGTGCCACCACGCCTGGTTTGAACTTTCCCTTATTTTGACAAATTTGCACCAATATAAAAATCCACCCTGAGCTGGGGATGTAGCTTAGTGGTAGACAACTTGCTTACAATGTGCAAGGCCCTGAGAGCAATCCCCAGCACTGAAAACACACACACACACACACACACAAAAAAAAAAAAAAAAAAAACTTCCCTGAGATAACCAGGCAGGCAGACTGTGATAAAACAAACCTGGGTGTGCATCCTAGGACTTCTTATGACAACTCAGACAATTCTCTTAGCCACTGCAGGCCTCAGTTTCCCCATCTGGAAAGTGGAGGTGCTGAGAATGTTGACTGGAAAGATGACTGTGAGGCTTCAATGCGGTCCTGCACATTCAGCACAAACATGGACATTGGCATGAAAAAATGAATGAACATCACCCAAATGAGAATAAAAGTATTATTGGGGCTGAGGGTGCAGAGTTGTAGAGGGCTTGCTTAGCATGCCCCAGACCCTCTAGGTTCCATCCCCAGTACCACAAAATAATAAATAAATCCATTACAATTGGTTTCGCCATCCCAGTAATTCCCATTCCCTGCATCTATCCCAGCAAGAGAGCCCAGTCCCTGCTGACTCCCCCGGGCATGGGGGCAGAGAAAGACACACACTTGTGACCAGCTTGGTACCCCCGATTCCTGGTCCGGGTCTCCAGTTTCACCAGACTATCAGCGACTCTGGAGATGTTACTGATATAAGACAGCGCTGGAAAGAGAAGAATGTTCTAACCGCCAGATTCCTGGGCTCCCCTCCGAGCCAGCTTCCTCACCTGGAAAATGGGCATGTACCAACGTCTACCTCAAACAGATGTTGGGAAGAGTCAACGAAAGGAGGCAGGAAAAGTGCTTGGCACAGAGCCTGGCACACAGCAAACGCTTAATAAACGTTCGCGTTACCGTCTGGGATGACATCTTGAGAAAGAGACTTTTGAGGTGGCCACTTCCTCCTTCCTGTCTCCACTGGACCCAGGACCAGCTTTGAAGATAGAATCGGAGTGAGGTGTGTACCCACGAAGCAGCACCTCCGGACCCTCTACCACCTCCAAACCTCCCCTGTCAGGGGAGTATCTGCGCTGTGCACCCGCTGGATATCTGGCCAGCCCGGAGGGAGTGGGGGCTCCCTCCCGCCCACATTCTGATAAGTGCATCCAGTCCTCAAGCCTTCTTCCAGATGACTTCCCGGGCGCGCCGCTTCGGTGTCCCGTCCAGACTCACCCTTTCCCGGGACTCAGTCTCGAACCCTAGACCCCGCTCCGCCACTGCGGGAAACCCCCGCAAGTTGGCGGCCCGGACTCCACCTCCCGTTGGCACCCTGAAACACGCATGCCCGTGGGCCGTAGCTCCGCCCTGCCGGAAGGTGCCGCTCCGATTGGTCCTTGGCCTAACTTCGTGGGCCAGCGATTGGTTAGGTGAGCGCCCGGATGCACCACAGCGTCTGCAATTGGCTGACATGGGCGTGGGCGTAGGCGTGGACACGCGGAAGAGAGTGGCCTACAGTGGCGGGCGGAGGAGCAGAGTTTGTACGCAAAACGACTGAAGAGTGGATTGATCAGACTGCTGAGGGCTCGAGTCCGGATTGTACGGTCGTGACCCCGGGACAGCGGCTCATGGACTCTCCCCCATGACTTCTCTTATCTTTGCCTGGCCAACCCCACCTCTCTGGCTGAGTTCTCTCCTCAGGAAGAGGGGGGAAAACAAAAAACAACAGGCCTGTAACCTCAGTTATCTGGGTGGCTGAGGCAGGCGGATCGCAAATTTGAGGCCAGCCCGGGCAACTTTTTTTTTCCTTTTTAATATTTTTTTTTAGTCACAGGTGGACCCCAATGTCTTTATTTCATATTTATGAGGTGCTGAGGATCGAACCCAATGCCCCATGCATGGTAGGCGAGCGCTCTGCCTATGAGCCACAACCCAGCCCCCAGCTGGGGCAATTTTGTGAGACCCTGTCTCAAAATTTTAAAAAAGGCGCTGGCGCGGTGGATCACGCCTTTAATCCCATCCATTTGGGAGTCTGAGGCAGGAGGATAGCGAGCTCAAAGCCAGCCTCAGCATTTAGCGAGGTCCTAAGCAACTCAGTGAGACCCGATCCCTAAATAAAATACAAAAAAAGTGGGGGGGGGGTGTGGGGGGCTGGGGTTGTGGCTCAGTGGTAGAGCTCTCGCCTAGCACGTGTGAGGCACTAGTTCCGTCCTCAGCACCACATAAAAACAAATGTATTGTGTTCATCTAAAACTTAAAAAAATAAAAATAAAAAAGTGGTGGTGGGCTGGGGATGTGGTGAAGTCCCCTTGGGTTCAATACCCCATACCAAAATAAATAAATAAGGCCCGTGGAAACAGCTCAGTGGCAGAGTGTCCCTGGGTTCCAGCCCCAGTAGCCACAGGGATATGGGGAATTACTAATTTTCTATTGCTGCATAATAAATAACCCCAAAACTTTGTTCCTTATAACAATAAAAAACAATTGTTTTTAGGGCTGGGGCTATAGGTCAGTTGGTAGAGTGCTTTCCTTGCATGCACAAGGTCCTGGGTTCTAATTCCCAGCACCATAAAAAGAAGGAAAAAAAAAAAAGATTATTTTACAGTCAGTAGTGAATTGGGCCCAGTAGTGAATTGGGTGGTTATTGGCCTGAGGTTGTCCCAGTTCCTTGACTTATGTGCTTTCTCTGGGCAACTTGGAAAGCCGAGGCAGGAGGATCTCTGGAGCTCAAGAGTTCTAGACCAACCTGGGCAACATAGCAAGAACCCATCATTCTCTCTGGCTCCCCTACCCCTTCAGTACCAGGAAATGGACCCAGGGCTGTGCACATGCTAGGCAAGCATTCTACAACTAAGTTACTTTCTCAACCCTTTCTGTTCTTTTGAGACAGTCTCACTAAGTTATCCAGGCTGGCCTTGAACTTGTGATCCTCCTGCCACAGCCTCCCCAGTAACCGGAATTACACATGTGTGCCACAGCACCTGGCTCCCATTTCATAAGAAAAAAGTTTGCATTTTTTTAGGAGGGATACTGGGGATTGAATCCAGGGGTACTCTACCATTGCACTAAATTGGCAGTTCTTTGTTTTGAAACAGGATCTCACCAAACTACTGAGGGTGATCTTGAATTTATGATCCTCCTGCCTCAGCCTGAGGTGCTGGGATTATAGGTGTACACCACACACCCAGCTTAAAATTTTCTAAAAAAAAAAAAATAAATAAACCAAGCTCTCAGGCCAAGAAATAAAACCTCACTGCTTCCTATAAACTTCCTGTTTTGAATCAGCAAGCCTGTCTCCGTCCTTTCTGCTTGCTCTAATTTTCTTCCCTGGCCTTACTGCAACCTGACATTTTGTTCTAGAATGTCAGCCCCAGGAGGGAGGATGGCATGGAAGGTCTGTCTACTTCTCCACTGTGTGCTCAGCACCTGAATTGTGTCTGGCACATGGTAGGTGCGGGTAAAAACAGTGTGGGAATGTGGGAATGGCCTGGGAGCCAGAGGCCCAGACTGTAGCGGAAGGGCTGGCCTTGGCCTTCCGGCCTGAGCTTCCTTTTCTGTTGCCACCCCTGCCATTAGGAGTTCAGTAGCAGGAAACTGAGGGTGCCAAATTCTTCAACAGCCAGCTCAAGTGAGCCTCCTCCAGTTTTAGGGCTAGACTACAGATTTTCTGGTGGACTTGGGATCCAGCATCGGCCATTCCAAAAGTGACCAACAGGAAATGTCAGATGGAGTGACTAATAATAACAATGAAGGTAATAATCCGACTAATAATAATAAACAATGGCTCACATGTTCCCAGCCAGAATACTAAGCCAAGGGCTGAGTGTTCAGCATTCCACAGCCTTCCCAGGTTCTTTCAAAGTGGGACCAACATCCCCACTTGACAGTGAAGAAAAGGGGTCTGGGGTGAGGTGGAAAGGCTCATGTACTGCCTGAAGCCTCTTTCTAGAACTTTGATATTAGATCTGGACACCCAGCTGGGAGGCCTCAAACCCCACAAGTGTCCAGGGTTTGCTGGGGTCTGAGGGGGTTCCCCCACAAGGGACTTTCCATGCTAAATTGGGGACAGCCCTGGGCACACTGGGACAGTTGGCCACTTTTCAGGAAGAAGCTTGAACTGGGGGATTCCCCTGACCTTGCCTGGTCTGTAGGGAGGGGCCTCCCCAGAGCTCTCACAGGACCTGGGAAAAGCCAGGGTTGGTGAATTGAAAACAAAATCCCTTTGTGTTCTTTTAAATGTTAGAGTTCAAGAAACAGCTCCCCACCCCTAAGAGCTGTGAGGTAAATTTCCTGCGAATCTTTCTAAGAAGGTTTCTTTCCACATTGGGCACGTGTGTGGACCTACATTCTCTAAAAAATTCACACCAGCAACCGCAGATAGTTGGTTTGAAAAGGCAGTTACGTGCGCCAAGGCGGGCACCAAATTCAGATCCCAGATATGCCTTTGCTGTGCTTGTTTCTTTCTCTGTAAATTGGGGTTGCTATTCCGGGTCCCCCATCAGAGTTGTGGCTCAGGCATCAGATGAGTTAATAGAATGGAGCCCAAAGTGGAGGGAACATTCTCCCCCTTGCCACTTTTTTTTTTTTTTTTGGTTGATTTTGGTTCCAGGGGTTGAAGCCAGGGACACTCAACCCATGAGCCACATCCCCAGATCTTTTTTAATTTATTTTATTTTGGGTCAGGTTCTCCCTAAGTTGCTTAGGGCCTCACAAAGTTGTTGAGGCTGGCTTTGAACTTGTGTTCTTTCTGCCTCAGCCTTACAAGCCTCTGGGATTCTAAGTGAGCCACTGTACCTGGCACTTTTTTTTGTTTTCATTTAATGATATTTCTTTGCTATAATTCCTTTATACTACATACAGATCTATTTGGTGGAATTGTTTTATCATGAAATATTTCAAACACTTAAAAAGCATAAATCAAGAGGCTGAGACTGTGGCTCAAGGTAGAGCGTTCGCCTAGCACGTGTGAGGGCCTGGGTGTGATCCTCAGCACCACATAAAAATAAAGATATTGTGTCTAGTTACAACTAAAAAATTTTTTAAACAGCATATAAATCAATAAAAACGTCACCTAGGCAAAAAAAAAAAAAAAAAAAAAAGGAAAAACCCACATGTCCAAGAGATAAATGAATAAATAAAATATGATATATCCACACATGGAATATTAGACAACTATAAAAAGAAAAGAAACTCATTCATGCTAAAATGTGGATGAATCCTAAGGACATCATGCTCAGTGAAATAAGCCACACAAAAGGACAAATACTGTATGGTTCTACTCAGGATGTCCTTAGAGTTGTCACAGAGTCAGAAAGTAGAATGGTGAGTGCCAGGGCCAGGGAAGAGAATAGGGATTTAGTGTTGAACAGGGACAGTTTCAGTTGGGGAAGGTGAGAAAGTTCTGGAGATGGACAGTGAGGTTGAATGGCTGGGGACCACCTTTCTGACCTGAGGGAGCTGCGGAGGGAAACAAATGATGTCTAACAAAGACTGTACCAGGCAGGGAACATCTAAGGCAAACGCCTTGAGGGAAAATCTATCCTTGAACTTAATATAATTGTCATCCATTTGCTGGGATCTGTAACTTGCTTGCTCTGTCCACAATATGAATCTCACAGGTACTGATGCCAATCAATTGCCCCGTTCTATCTCCCAGCATTGTACAAATTGATAAGCTGCAATTTGTCCCTTCTCCTGTGGGAGGACATTGATGTGGTTTTCAGTTTGGGAGATTCTGTGGCTCCAAGAAACCTCTTTCTTTTGCTTTTCAGCATTTTTTTCTTTTTAAGAAAGAAAGCATTATTAAAAAGGAAGGTGAAGGAAAATCTCAGAACTCTGGGTGCAGCCCACCTGGGAGGGACAACAGCACCTTCATCTTTATTTTCGAACAACTAATTAATTTCCATGATTCCAAATCAAAAAGGCACAAAAAGATTTTCAGAGTAAATCCCTACTATGTTTGTGGTCTCCTGTCACCCAGCTCATTACTTAATTCAAAACAAATTTATGAGTTAGGTGTGGTGGCACACACCTGTGATCTCAGGGATTCAGGAGGCTAAGACAGGAGGATCACAAGTTTAAGGCTAACCTGGGCAACTTAAATTTTATGTCAAAATAAAAAATAAAAAAGGGCTGGGGATGTAGTAGCTCAGTGGAAGAGAGCCCCTGGGTTCAACCCTCAGGATCCAAAAAAAAAAAAAAAAAAGTCCCTTCTCCGCTTCTCACCCAGGTACAAAGCACCAGGGGACCACACTCCATTTTGCAGCTCACTATTTCCCCCTGGTGGTAATTGGCTTGGGCACAACAGCAGCTTGGCCTCTTTCATCCCCTGCTCCGGCA